GGGGCCGGGCGGGGCTCCGGGGCTTCTCGTCGTCCTGCCGTCCCCGTCCCCCCAAACGGGCACGCTCAGCTCAGCTCCGGCGGGCCGGGCCCTCCGCCAGCCCCCGGCCCCATGGCCCGCCCGGGCGAGAGGGAGGCCGGAGCGGACCCCGCACGGACCAGCCGGCCTTCTTCTTCTTCCTCCTCCTCCTCCTCCCCGAGACGGGGCAAGGCCCGCTGGCTTGGCACTGCTACGGGTCCCCGCGAGGCTCACGCGCGTCGCCCGCTCGCCGACCGGCGGGGAGGAAGTGTCGGCCGGCAGCTACGGGCCGCCCGAGGTGCCCTTCCCGGGTCCTCCCGGCCGGCTTTCGCTTTCGCGTTTCCTCTGCCGCTTGAACCGCGCAGGCTGGGGTCCCGGAAGCGGAAGCGGCCTCTCGGGGCGGTTCGTTCGAGTCCGGGTAGGAAACGGCTCCTCCCGGAAGGAGCGTTCCGGGGCGAAGCGGGACCCACCCCCGGCAGGGCAAGGATAGAGGGGAGGGGGCGCTTCAGGCCGCGGGTGCCCCCCCCCCCGGCCAGTGTTCCCTCTAAGCTGAGTTAATGTGAGCCAGCTCACAGTTTTTTAGCCTCCGGCTCACACATTTTTGTCTCAGCTCAGGAAGGAGGGCTCCAGAACACACTAATTTATGCAGTAGCCAAATCACCTGCTCACCACTTTAATGTCAGTAGCTCATAAAGCAGAATAATTGCTCACGAGGCTCCACAACTTAGAGGGAACATTGCCCCCGGCCAGTGTTCCCTCTAAGCTGAGTTAATATGAGCTAGCTCACAGTTTTTTAGCCTCTAGCTCACACATTTTTGTCTTAGCTCAGGGAGGAGGGCTCCAGAGCCAACTGATTTATGCAGTAGCCAAATGGCTCGCTCGCCACTTTAATGTCAGTAGCTCATAAAGCAGAATAATTGCTCAGGAGACTCCACAACTTAGAGGGAACATTGCAAGGAGCGGGCAATGAAATTGGGGTGGCGGGTCAGGGTTTGCAGGAGGGAGAGTGCCGCGCCAGGACGAGAGACAGGTCTGCGTTCAAATCTTCCCCCGTCCCTAGGTCCGGAGCGCACATGGGCTAGTTGCTCTCGCTCAGACTGGCACTGGCCTACCTCGCAGGGTCATTGTAAGGAGAAAAGGGTAGAGTGCCGCGAAGCTGTCCTGGGCGAGGGGTACAGAGGGGGATGTGACAATTTAAAACCTGCTTTTTTTCAAAGAGGCTTCCAGCATTGTTATCCCCTCCTCCTTTTTACCCTCGCAACAACAACCCTGTGAGGTAGGTTAGGCTGCGAGGGTGTGAGCGGCCCAGCAAGCTTCCATGGCAAGTTGAAGATCTGGACCTGGGTCTCCCAGATCCGAGTCTTTCACTCTCCTTCTACGCCAGGCTGGCTCTTCCTATGATTTTGCCAGAATCGCAGCATCCTGAGTTGGTGGTTTTCAAGGCCCCCCTTACAGTCCACTGAGGTGCAGACTCTGTGTCATTCATTCCTGAAGCAGGTACTGCGGAATTATCCATTCTCAGAAGAGGCTGCCTGTAGCATCTCTGCCTGAGTCCCTGCTTTGGGTTGGCTGCCTTCCAGTCAGGTGACACCCAGATCTGAAGGCAGCTCATTCTTGAACATCTGTACTTCAGGAGTAAGGTGATGCACACTGGGACAAAAAAAATCCCAACTTCAAATACAGGCTAATGGGATCTCAACTTGCTGAGACTGAAAGGGGAAAAGATCTTGGATAGCTCAGTGGAAGAGTCAACTCAGTGTGCTGCAGCAGTGAAAAAGGCAAGATCTATGTTAGGGACAGATCACGATAGGTAGTCTGTAGCAGTAGAAAAGAGCAGGAGTCCAGGAGCACCTTAAAGACTAACAAAATTTGTGGCGGGAAGAAGCTTTCGTGAATCACTGTTCTGATTAAATGAGCAGTGACTCACAAAGGCTCCTACCCTGCCACAAATTCTGTTAGTCTTTAAGGTGCTACTGGACCCCTGTTCTTTTCTATTTTGGGGATTATTTGAAATCTCCACATTCAGAGGCTCCAATACTCTGAATCCCAGAGCCAGGAGGCAACCTTGGGGGAAGGCCTCGGCCTCTATGCCCTGTTGTTGGCCCTCCAGAGGACTTGGTTGGCCGCGGTGTGAGGCAGGATGCTGGACTGGATGGACCCTCGCTGGTCTGACACAGCAGGGCTCTTCTGATGTTCTTAAGTCTGCCTCTAATCTTTAGAACTGATTTCTTATGAAGAGTTTATACGCTGACGTCAATCATTTATACTTCCAAGTGCCATACAGTAAATTAAAGAAAGACAAGAAATGTGACTTCCAAGAGACCGTGGCTCTTTGGCAGTGGGTTGGACAGGAGAAGCTGGGGAAAACATGATGCCTTCTGGTGTACCCGTTGGCACTGCTGCTGCTTCAGGTTGGTCAGGTGAAAGAGCACTTCCAGGAAATGTGCTGCTGGGCAGGAAGCTGGCAAAGTGAAAAAACTGGAAAATTTTGAGTCCAGCGGCACCTTTAAGACCAACAAAGCTTAATTCTGGGTATAAGTGTGCATGCACACAAAAGCTTATATCCAGAATTAAATTTTGGTCGATCTTAAAGGTGCCACCAGAATCAAACTTTCAGACTGGGTTTTTACTGTGTGAACTGGCAAAATCCAGTTTCAAAGTGCATTGAAAGTGGATTATTTAGCATGTGTGAACGCAGTTCTGGCTTCAGGAACAACATAGCTACCCACCTGAATCTGGAAAATGTTGTTAATCTTTAAGCTCCATCTGGACTTGAACTTTGTTCCGCCACCAAATGCCATCTTAATTTAGAAGAATGCATACCTCCACAGGAACCTTGGAGAGGAGCTTCAAAAGAAAGCTTGCAGTAGATGAACCTTGGAAGGGCCTCGCTGGCGTTTTCCATTTCCTTGTACCACAGTGTGAACTGCATTAACATCTGCCCCTGTTTTCACCAGCCAAATGTCGAGCAGGATTTGATATCCCTTCAATAGATTCTTTCTACAGGCATCTTTCTTTCCAGTGGCGGCGGGGGGGGCGGCGGGGGGACCACCTATTGTCACGACTTGTCATTTGCTAGAGGCAGTTGACATGATCTGTAAAGCGATCTGGCTAATGGGACCCAAGGCCAGGTTGGTGCAATTGTTTTGTGGTGGTTTCGGTAACAACAAAATTAATAGTTAATTTAAAGTAAGGCAACTGGAGCTGCTGCCGCCTGTGGAAACTCTAGAGGGGCCATGCCATGCATTATGCAGTGGAAGAATGGCCTAATTGTGTCGCATGGAGCCCATGGAAGAAGCAGCGGTAGATTGCTGATTCCCCCTCCTGCAGATGAGCGTAAATACAGACAACTGCATTTGGTGACCTTCCTCTCCGTGACCCTTGCCTCTGTCATCGTTCCCCCTCCCTTGACCTCCTGGCATAGATTATCGGATGGTGATGATTCATGTGCAGTTGCGGTCTCAGGTGGGCCCACAAAAAAGTCATGCCACAGACCATGGCCTGAGGGCTGAGCCCAAAAGATTTACCACTCGTTTGGTGTAGTGGTTAAGAGTGGTGGACTCTAATCTGGGAGAACCGGGTTTGATTCCCCACTCCTCCACATGCAGCTGCTGGTGTGACCTTGGGTCAGTCACAAGTTCTCTCAGAGCTATTCTGCCAAGCAGTTCTCAAAAGAGCTCTCTCGGCCGCACCTACCTCCCAGGGTGCCTGTTGTGGGGAGGGGAGGGGAAAAGAGATTGTAAGCCACTCTGAGATTTGGAGTGAAGGGCGGGGTATAAATCCAATCTCCTCCTCCTGTTCCTTCTTATCTCAAGAGCAGTCCTTGAAAGAGCTCTCTCAGCCCCATCTACCTCACAGGGTGTCTGTTGTGGGGAGGGGAAGGGAAAGGAGGTTGTAAACCGCTGTGAGACTCCTTTGGGTAGTGAAGGGCAGGGTATAAATCCAGTCTCTTCTCCTCCTTCTCTTCTTCTTCCTCTCCTCCTCCTCTGAGATTACAGTTCTCTCTCTGCTTTAAAATGTACCGTAATCTCAAATCTCCAAGAAGAACCATGTGCAGGCAAAGAGGTAGAGCTGAATTTGAACAAAGGCTCCTCAGAGGTTTGATCCTGATCAGTGATATCAACTTCAGGTAATATGGGGTTGGCAGCTCACCCTCTAATAGGTGCCCCGGGCAAGCCATCGTTCCCATGCCCCTGTGGCACCTGGTTGGGTGCCCTCGCCCTGGCAACTAGGTCGGTATGCGCAGTGCCATTAAGACACAGAGAAGGGGGCCCCAGAAGCTGTGGTAGAAACAGGAGACAGGACAGAGGTTCACAGTGCAATTCTAAACAGAGCCATGTCCTCCTAAGTCCTTTGAAGTCAATGCAAATGGCAGGTTCAGGAGGGGGAGAGGATGAAAGCAATACCATAGAGTCTAGGACGGGGGTGGCCAAACTTGTTTAACGTAAAAGCCACATAGAATGAATGTCAGATGTTTGAGAGCCGCATAACGTGAAGAAATCTTATCAGACACGTTTTTAATTGAAAGATATGCACATTTGCTTTTTGTTATCATTATACATGAGACTTCCAAAAATAAAAACAAAAGGGGTAGACATAGATGTTGATAATGGTATTTATTTGTCCAACGATATTTGTAGGCTGTGGCGGGGGCTTTGA